TATATATATATATATATGTGTATATATATATTTATTTATTTATATATATATATATATTATATAATATAACATGTTCGCACGTTTCGATAAGAGGGCTCATCTTTGGTCCGCTATACGCATAACTGCGTGTTTACGGTGCAGCCCCCGACTTAATATAGCATGTTATAAAACTCGTTTTTAATTAAATATTAACTTATAACATTCGCAATATAGGCGGAGATAAATTATCAACTGCAAGATATAACTAATTAATAATAATAATCAGCATAGCTTAATAATAATATCATCTTCAATCATGTATAATAATTAATGGAATATCGCTATAGAAACCCATCATTTTGTTGTTGCTGCTCTTATATCCTTCGTAATCTCGCATAACTTCGCTTTAAAATTGGCTAATACAAATTAGTATAAGAATAATACATATCATTAATTATTATTCTACAATGGTACAGAGATCAAGTAAATGACCTGTGATGTGATTTGGTAATGGTAAGGTGCCATTTCGCTCCAGAAAGCCATTTAAAAAATATTTTAGTTATTAAAATTGTAGATAAAAAAAAGACAATGCATATGAATGATGATACTTTATACACGACAGTCTCAATTTTCTTGCCCATATTGCAAGAATCTTGTATATCTGCTGTATCAAGTTTTAAAATAAAATAAAATTATTTATCGTTTTATAACATTCTGATCTAATAAAAAGAAAAGATTTTTCACTTTATACTTGTCGATAAACGGAATAAGAATAGAATAGTTGCCTTTGGAAAACACATAAGTATGCGCCGTTTACCAAAGGACATACATATATTGTCTTATTGCCAATTTCCCACTAAATTTTAATCTCTAACAAACAGGATTTTAGAGATTTTCCACTAATCTAACTTTCGAGAGCGACATGCACAAGTATCGACATCTCGAAGGACGCCGTCACACAAAGACCGTACGATCTTGGCTTTAAATCTTCGTAATGGTGAAGATGTGACGTTTTTTTCTTAACATTGCCGCGTTCGTCGCTTTGCGAATACAGCGTCGATCACTAAAGCAAAATGAATCACACGTTGGATCGATTTAAATTACTTTGATCATATAACAATATCACCTTCACTGGCGAAGCCATTCTAAAATTTGATCATACGACGAGTTCTTTAAACGGCGACGCGAAAGATCGTATTGGTGCTACATAAAAAAGATTACATATATAAAATTCTCGGTGCTCACGATTTTCGCTATATACTCCATTATTTTATTATCGTGGCTCCGGTCAAATCAATCTTCCGAGTCGTCGTTCGTTTACATTTCCACGAAATTACGTCTACCAAACCGATACAAAATGAGAGATCGATTTGATCATAAATACATACTTTCTTTGTATCTACGCGCGGCTCTTCACGCGAATTCTATGCAACTCAGGTAAAAGAGCATATCGCTGGACCTCTCAATCTGTTCGATCATTGTAACTGCTCGTCATTATTGCTTCGACCTCGGTTAAGAGACATCGTCGCATCCCTTGGAGAGTGGATCGGTTTTCTTCCCATTTGGCAATCCTTCTACACAACGGCTCGTGGTGCAACGCCGCGATTGGTGGTCCTCGTCCGTGACGACGTCCTAGGATCGTCACACCTTGTTGTGATGCCTCATCTCATATGCTGCGCTCCTCCCCCCTCCCCCGGAGCCCGAATAGGCGCCGGCATACAGTTCTGGGTGATTGGAACGGCCGTAATTGTCTGCTGACCCGCTACTTGGTGGCGCACTAGCTGTGGGAACCGAGCGATATCCTGCTTAAAGTTTAGAAAAATGTTCGACAATGAAATGAAACACAACCAAAAGTAACACCGCGGGTATGCGAGGATAGAGGATTGCTGCCACTGTGTACAACAGCCAAATAAAATATGACAATAGGGAAACAGTCGCCGCAATCTCCACTCTTTCTGCATATCCTTCGCGTGCTATTTCTCTCTTTCTACTTAATATATACTTAATATAGCTAATAATATTATTCTGGAAAGTCATAATTCAGAATCAATCAGTCGATGATGCAAAATCAGAAAGGAGGAGCTCGGCTTCGACATTGGGAAAGAAAAAGTATTTCGCTAGCATCCAATGCAATGCCATGAACAATGAGCTAGGAGCAAATACAAGAATACGTCAATATTTTAATTTTTCTAAATAGCAATGAGTTTAAAACTACATTTTACATTAACGACAATGATATTGACATTTATGAATTTGCTCCTATTAAGCGTAAGAATATAGGCCCCAGGCTCACCTCTGCAGATCATAGAACGATAGTATCGGGTAGTCATAGATGCGCGTCAATGCGAGGAAGATGCAAACAGGAAAAGACATTGATGTAGTTGCGGGTCACACAAGGACGAGAAAACGCGAACAACGTTAGCTTGAGTTTAATCCGCATTAACAATCCTTTCTTTCACACTAGATTATACGTATTTTTACGATGTATGCAATGCTGATTGGTGTTTAAGCATAGGAACTAAACTCAAGCAACGAGAAATGTATAGATGAGACTTAATGCTAATTTACCTTTTGGATAATATTGAGCACCTCTACCCTCTCCATATCCATGAGAGGGTCCACGTGTTCCGTGACCACCTTGACTTGGTCTCGGAGGTATACTTCTTGGCCCAGGTCCACCACCAGCGTGCGGATGTCGCTAAAAATGACAAACATCTACATTAAAACGTTGAACAAGATGAAATATTTCTTACTTCAAACAATAATACGAGCAAACTTTTGTATGTAAATGTAATTCATATGTTCTTACCATTCTTCTAAGAGTATTCATCGGTCTTGTCAATGTATCACTGATGCGCCTCGCAGGCGGCTTTTTAGGATTAGTGGAAGGAATGTGCACTGCGCAACACTTGATAAACAGTCCCATGAAAATGATGAAAGCTATACCCATTAATAATACTGCCCACCAAAATTCCTGAAATAATAAATAACGTCATAAAATAGAAAATAGATAATACAGAAATAAGAGTTACGAGAAAATGTTTATGCATACAGTTATCCATTGTGCTACCGACGATAACGTTTCTTTATTGAACAACAAGTTTTTCAATCTCGCAAGCGGTCCTTCCGTATCGACAGCTCGGCATTTTAAGAAAACATCGCAGTAACCCTGAAGAAAAAAAATAAAAATTTATAAATATAACTTAACTTTTAAAAAATATATAATGTAACTTTTAAAAAAAATTAATAATCCGTATACGCCCATATATCTATTAATTTTATTTCATCTGTACATAAAGGTTAATAATTTACCTGAAAATTATCGCAAGGTGAACCAGGTCTAAGACTCATTCCACCCTCGGGCAATCCCACCATGTGCGCAAACTCGCTTGTCCCGCGACATGTTGATGCATCAGTTCCATTTTGACAGGCTAATTCGCACAGTTTTCGCTTATCGATGTTTGGTATGATGCTGCTCGTTAAAAAGCACTCCGTCAGATTCCACTCCAGACAAATAGATCCTGTGCATTCCCCATTGATGCATAACTGTAAATAACGCGTTATTGAAATCAGCGTCAATGGTTGGCTAAATCGTACAATTCACAGAATAACAGATCGTGATTACTTGAGTGCCCTCATTGCATCTAGTCTTGTTGGCTTTCGGTAGCGGCGCTGGGCATTCGGAGGACCTCCCACTGCATGTAGAATTGTAACTACAGTCTGATTCGGCTCTACATTGGATTCGATGAGAGAGGGGCACAAACTGGCACGTTTCACTCGAACAACAGGGTCCTTGACTAGGACTGCAAACGCATAATTACATTTATGAGGAAATGAATCGGGGCATTGTCATTTGCTTGCACGTATTACATTTTGCTTGCACGTATTACAATACCTGCATTGTGTCCCATATTTTCTATTGCAACCTTTCGCCGTGTCGTTCTTAATCTTATCCAGCTCAGACACCTGTCTAGGATAGCAGCACTTGTCCACGCACTCGTCGTCATCGTATCCGCAATCACACTCCTCGCCAGCCTCGACAATTTTATTCCCGCAAAACGCTCCTGTAAATATAATAAATGCAATAAGTTTCATCAGACAAGTAGAAATATTAGAAGCAACGTTTCTGTCTATTATTCGTTTAATCTGTTCTGAAGATTGCTGTAGCGTGAAGGGAAAATGTGATGTAAAAATACCAGTGAAACAGTTCCTCTTCTTATTATCCTCGATAGCATCTAGGACGTTGCTGATATTGCCAATGCTGCACTTTGAAAACTTGCTGTTGTTCGGTCGATTTCCGCTCGTCGCCGAGGCGAACATAATGTAATTACCATCCAAGCCTCCTGGTCTGCATTCCGGCGGAAAATCGTGCTGGAAAAAAAGGTGATCGTTATCTCTGCGCTCCGGACAGATTAAACACGTACGTCTACGAGAAAACATTTTTTTTTTTTGCCGGCTTACCGGTGATCCGAAGTTATGACCTATCTCATGCGCCAGAGTCAGTTGCGATACTTTAGGCGGTACACGGCTGTTGTAATTCACGAAAGTTATGATACCAGTATTGAGGGATCTCTTAGTGGATTGATATAGACCGGACACAGTTTCGGTATAAGTCTTGAACTTCTCACAGATACCGCCGGACGCGCCGGACGCGGAAGCAACCCAGGCGAGTCCGAGTGTACCACCGGTAAAATCCCTGTCGACATAGAAATAACGTTTATAAAGAAGCCTCAAATCGATACGGAATACGCTATATTCCGTAGTATTTCGTTACTTCGCTTACCTGTAAGTAAAAACGTAGGCGAGACAAAAGTCCTCATGATTCGAGAGAGAATGGAGATTGAGGAAGTTGCTAACGTCGATGTTCTCTAAACAGAAGGGATTGGGTTCGCTGTACGGCTGTTGAGGCGTGCACGCCGTCTCGTCATCGATCTGTTATCAGATATAGCAAGTGTGTTAGTTTAATGAATTCATACATTGACGGATATTCACACATTGACGTATGTTATTTTCGACCGTTACCTTTATTCGTTGAACCTCGAACTTGATGTTTCTGTGCTCCGTCCTGCCATCGAATTTCGTGTCCCTATAGATATAATTCACGGCGGTGACGTGGTGTGCGATCAAGGACAATATTTCTTCTCTGGTTTTTTCCGCGTCATGATGCAGCTGCAAATATAGAAACATGAACTCTGACTCCGCAATTGTCCGAGATTGCTCTATCTCTTATTCTACGTGATACAATTTTTCTTTCGAGGTACTCATATTAGACAGAATTTCCGATATATAAATGTTTAATTTCTAACATCTAACAGCTTGTAATTAAGTCTTAAATATTGATTTTCTTA